AAATAGAAAATTTGATTAGATCTTAGCTCCTCAGAAAAAAAAATACAACAAGAAATGTTTTGAACAACAAACAATGTTTTGAACATTTTTTTCTGGAACTTATTTTGGGAAAATTTGAATCCGTAGTCCCGACGGTTGGGTTGCTCTTAGACCGATTAAACGCACCACTAGTATCATCCAGGATCCGAGTGTGATTGTTAATCCGGCGGTTTGTCTGTTTTCAGTTTGCACAATGGCGTCATCCAGCTGTGGGACTACCGCATGTGCACGCTGCTGGAGAAGTTCGACGAGCACGACGGCCCGGTCCGGGGCATCTGCTTCCACTCGCAGCAGCCCCTCTTCGTGTCCGGAGGAGACGACTACAAAATCAAGGTGAGTTTTTTTTTGTTTTTGTTTTTTCGTTTTTGTTTTTTGGTGGGTCACTCACGTAAAAAATGGCAAGAAATTTTTTTGAAAGAGGAAAATAAAAAATTTACTCCTTGACCCAAAGCATAAAAATGTCTGTTTTTAAAGTATGATTTTTTCGCCCTTAGGAAAAATGTTTGTGAGTGTTTAAGGAAAAGCATCAGTTGTGTCAACTGAAACACCTTTTATTCATACCATTCTAATGTTTAACAGGTTTGGAACTACAAACAAAAACGCTGTATTTTCACGTTGCTGGGCCACTTGGACTACATCCGGACGACAGTTTTCCATCATGAGTACCCATGGATTCTCAGCGCCTCAGATGACCAGACCATCAGGATTTGGAACTGGCAGAGCCGGACATGTATTTGTGTCCTGACTGGTCATGCCCACTATGTAATGTGTGCGCAATTTCACCCATCTGAAGATCTTGTTGTGTCCGCCTCATTGGATCAGACAGTCCGTGTCTGGGATATCTCAGGTATTGCCAGCCAGTGCAACAGTCAAGGTAAATATAGCAACATGCCAGTGGTCAGGGTGAGGGTTCCATTCGGGATTTGCTTTCGGTTTGAATTGACCTTTTCTTAGCTGTGTGTCACAAAAACTGGATTGCTCCGCTTTATACTAATATGTCTACTTCTTTACTGTATGTAAATAATTCTTTATTGATTTTGTTTTGTTTTTTTGTATCTTAAATATAAACTTGTTTTTATTTCAATTTTTCATTGTTCAAATATACAATTGAAATCTGATGTCATTGCCGTACAATCAAGCTATACCTCTCTATGTTTATATCTCCTTTTGTCTTTTCTGATACTATAATCCTGGAAGAAAAAATTGTCTTGGTCCAATGTGCATTGGTTTGGCTGCCTCTTGACATTTGGGGCCACATTTTCTTTGTTTTATCTGAAGGTTTGGTCACCAGTGTGTGGATTGGATATACAGTTTACTGGTATTTTCTGTGTACATTTTATTTCATAAACTGCTGGCATGTTGGTATGTTTTGCAAATCCTACGGAACATATTTTTAAAATTGGTGATGTGTGCTTTCAAGCATTTAAATGGCCATTTCAAGTTCCTTAACATCTATTGCATGTGTGGATGTTATGTTGAACAGATGAATTTTCCATGTGAAAAGGTATCAAGTTGTACATATCTTCAAAGAAGCATGATTGTTTATTTATTGTTGTAACTTATGTTAATTTAAAATGTAGTGATCAAGAAATGGCCATTCTTTGTCATAACAGTTGATATAATTTATTATGTTTCATCATCGTCATTGAAACTTAGGAATCTTGTCATTTATGCATATTTCGTTATTGATTACTAGGCCTTCGCAAGAAAAATGTTGCTCCTGGTCCTGGAGGTCTTGAGGAGCACCTCAGAAATCCAAATGCCACCGATTTGTTCGGCCAAGCTGATGCTGTGGTGAAGCATGTGCTTGAGGGACACGATCGCGGAGTGAACTGGGCTGCCTTCCACCCAACTCTCCCTCTCATTGTGTCTGGCGCTGATGATCGCTTGATTAAGATGTGGAGAATGAATGAATCCAAGGTGAATAATTCCGCATGCTTTGGAACATTTAATTATCTCCCCCCTTTTTTATAGCCTTTACATAAAACAAATTTCTTCTTGTAGGCTTGGCAGGTGGACACTTGTCGTGGACACTACAACAATGTGTCATGTGTACTTTTCCATCCGCGTCAAGAACTCATTCTCTCCAATTCTGAAGACAAAAGTATCAGAGTATGGGATGCAACAAAGCGCTCTTGTCTTCATACATTCCGCCGAGAGCATGAACGTTTCTGGGTACTAGCTGCTCACCCAACACTCAACCTCTTTGCTGCTGGTCATGATTCAGGAATGATAATCTTCAAGGTACTTTATTGTTTTATCTATATTTAGATGTTGTGTTTTTGTAATTGGTACCAGCAACTCAACTTTAATTTTTCCCATTTCAATGTCCAGCTTGAACGTGAACGCCCAGCGTATGCTGTTCATGGAAACTTCCTCTATTATGTGAAAGATCGCTTCCTTCGGCGGCTGGACCTAACAGCATCAAAGGACATAACTCTAATGCAACTAAGAGGAGGTGGACGCACACCAGTCTATAGCATGTCGTACAATCCTGCTGAGAATGCAGTTTTGTTGTGCACCCGCACCAGTAATGTGGAGACATCCACTTATGACCTGTATGTCATTCCCAAAGAAACCGACAGCCAAAATCCAGAGGCACCTGACAGCAAGAGAGCATCTGGCATCACTGCCATTTGGGTTGCAAGAAATCGTTTTGCTGTTCTGGACCGCACTCATGCAGTATGTTACAATCTGATCTCGTCTATTTTTAATTTGTCAAAAATTCATGTGCTGCTTTATTTATCTTATTTATGTCATTTTTTATTTTTTATTTTTAGCTTGTGATTAAGAATTTGAAGAATGAAGTTACCAAGAAGGTTCAAACACCAGCCTGTGATGAGATTTTCTATGCTGGTACTGGTATGCTCCTTCTCAGAGACCCAGATGCCATAACATTGTTTGATGTGCAACAGAAAAGGTTCCTATCTTTTACTCTATCTATAATATTAATTTTTTGTGCCTCTATTTTTACCTCTAAAAAAATATTTCTCTTTTTCTTGCAGAACTTTGTCTCAGGTGAAAATAAGCAAGTGTCGCTATGTTGTTTGGTCTGCTGATATGTCTTTGGTAGCTCTGCTAGCCAAACATACTGTTCTAATTTGCACTCGCCGGTTGGAGACCAAGTGCTCAATTCATGAAAACACCAGAGTCAAGTCTGGAGCATGGACTGATGATGGCATTTTCATCTACACCACAAGTAACCACATCAAATATGCTTTATCCAACGGGTAAGTGAAACTATCTTATATTAATCTCATATTCACCTCCCTGTTTTCTTTTAGAATAAGGTGCTAATCAATTTTATTTCTTATTTCAGTGATCATGGTATTATTCGTACTTTGGACATGCCTATCTACATCACCCAAGTCAAAGGAAATCAAGTGTTCAACCTTGATCGTGAATGTAGACCCAGAGTCATGAATATTGATCCCACCGAGTTCAAATTTAAGTTGGCCCTGATAAACCGTAACTATGATGAGGTAAGTAAATTATCTTTATCTATCTATTTTGTGCTATCTCTGATTTCAATCATCCTTTTAAAGCAAATTTTTATGTCCCAGGTTCTACATATGGTTCGCAATGCAAGGTTGGTTGGACAGTCTATTATTGCCTACCTGCAGCAAAAAGGATATCCAGAGGTGGCTCTTCACTTTGTCAAGGATGAAATGACTCGGTTTGGTCTTGCTCTGGAATGTGGAAATATTGAGGTTGCTGTAGAGTCAGCTCGTGCTCTTGATGACAAGCACTGCTGGGAGTGTTTGGGCGAAGCAGCTCTTCTTCAAGGAAATCACCAGGTCGTTGAGATGTGTTACCAAAGAACTAAGAACTTCGACAAGCTTGCATTTTTGTACCTCATCACTGGCAACTTGGAGAAACTGCGCAAAATGACTAAGATTGCTGAAATCCGTAAAGACTGTATGGGTCAGTACCAAGGTGCCCTGTACCTGGGAGACATTGCTGAGCGGGTGAAGGTTTTAAAGGTATGTGTCATTAGATTGTGTAAATAAATAAATAAAAAACAATGATGTAAATTGTGTGTAAAGTGTAAAGCATGTGCTCACACACTCAAATTTATATTTATGTTTCTAGCCAACACAGCCTTCTCTTGCCTATCTCACTGCTGCTACTCATGGATTAGAAGAAGAAGCAGAACAAATGAAAGAACAGCTGTTGTCAGCTGGAAAGAAACTGCCAGAGCTGAATCCTGATGCCATGCTGATTCGTCCTCCCGCACCTATATTACAAGCAGAATCCAACTGGCCTTTGCTTACAGTCACCAAGGGCTTCTTTGAGGGAGCCATGGGCAACCGTACCACAAATGCTGCCAGTGCTGCTTTGGCTGCCGTTCCAGTGGAAGGTGATGTTGAGGCTGAGGGTTGGGACACTGATCCAGAGGTCGGTGAGGAGGGTGATGGTGAAGAAGGTGCTGTTGAAGGTGGAGAGGGTGGTAAGTTAATGATCCAATAATCTAGTCTCAATTTTATGGTTCTCAGAATCATGTGTAAATTGTCTTTTTAATTCATTTTCCAGGTACTGGTTGGGATGAGGGTGATGATGATTTGGAGCTGCCTCCTGAGCTGGAAGAAACCTTACCCGCTGCAGCCGAGGAAGGGTATTTTGTTGCTCCAACAAAAGGATCATCTCAGGGTCAACTCTGGGTCAACAATTCCCAATTGGCTGTGGACCATATTCTTGCTGGTTCATTTGAATCTGCATTTAGATTATTACATGATCAGGTACATAGAAGATGCCAGTCACCTGTATTTGTTCAAAGGCAACATAAACAGAGGAGTTATAAAAACTTGTCAAATTACAGGTTGGTGTTGTAAACTTCAACGCATACGAAAGTGTTTTCATGAGCACTTTCAGCCGAGCAAGAGCTTCCTATCCTGCTTTCCCCATGACTGGTTCTATCTACCGTCACCTCCAAAGGAGTTGGGGCGATTCAGGGCCCAAGGGGGGCTTACCTGCTGTTGGACTAAAACTAAATGATCTTGTTCAGAGATTACAAGTAAGCAATTGAGTAATAACATAGCACTGTATTTTTATCAATATATTTTAAATTGATGCTTATTGTGGTTTCTATTTTACAGGTTTGCTATCAATTGACAACAGGTGGCAAATTTATTGAAGCAGTAGAAAAATTCAGAGCTCTTCTTCTAAGCATTCCTCTTTTAGTTGTTGACACTAAGCCAGACATTGTCCAAGCCCAGGCGCTCCTTCAGATATGCAGAGAATATATTTCAGGCTTAATGATGGAACTTCTTCGTAAAGATCTCCCTAAAAACACTCTAGAAGAAAACAAAAGAAATTGTGAGATGGCAGCCTATTTCACTCACTGCAATCTCCAGCCTGTCCATCAAATTCTTACCCTCCGCACAGCTCTCAAGCTGTTCTTTAAATTGAAAAATTTCAAAACTGCTGGTTCCTTTGCGCGAAGGTTGCTTGAGCTGGGGCCAAGTCCAGAGTTATGCCAACAAGCAAAGAAATTCTTACAGGTTAGCAATTTTTTATTTTATCTTTTGGAAACTACTTTGGTTGGAGACTAAAATTTTCAACTAAACATTAATCTAAAATTCCTTTTGTTCTTTCCCTTACAGGCATGTGATATGAATCCTGTTGATGAGCATAAGTTAACATATGACGAGCACAATCCTTTCTCATTATGTGGAGTCACCTACAAGCCAATCTACCGTGGGAAACCAGAAGAGAAATGTCCACTGTGTGGCACTAGTTATATGCCACAGTACAAGGGCACTGTATGCACAGTCTGCACTGTTGCTGAAGTAGGCAAAGACTGTCTAGGACTTCGTATTTCAACCATACAGTTCCGATAAAAGTATTATTTTAACTATGGCATTCTCTGCATTTCTTCAATTCTATTTTTGAGATACCCTCATGAACTATTGTTGTAGTGATAATTGTTGTGTTTTTATTATTTCATAATGTATGTTACTTTAATCATGTACAACCACGCTTACACTTAAAGAAAATTTATGTAAAATAATTTTAAAACGAAAAGTATGTGAAGTTTAGTGATGATAAAGACTGGGAAAATGAAAACACCCCATTGTGCGTTATTTCTGGAAGCCTGCTCAACCCGTACGACGTGTGATCTGGATTGTGATATCAGTTGTAAAGTGGCCCGGCTGAGCCTATTTGGTTTGGCGGTGCTGACATGAAAATAAAATGAAGCAAACGGAAAGGAGGGTGGGTGGGGGGTGACTTAATTACCGTCGCGGTGACTACAGGGAGCAGGTCCACCGGGTCCAGGTCGTAAAAGTTGTCGGGTCTCTCATGCCTGATATCGTTGAGTAACGCCGGTGGCTCGTGTCACAGACGGACGCCCGAGGGGTTCTACCACGATTTTTCTGTTTTTTCTTGAACCTTCTGAATATTTTTCTGAGTATTTTTTTTTTGTGTGTGTGTGCACTAAATTATTTTGGAGTGAAGTTCCTCTTGCGAACGCCACCGCTGCCACCCCGAGAGCAACCCTACCTCGACCAACTCCACCCAACTCCGCCACGCCCCGCCACGACTGCTTGTTATCACGTCACCGACGACCAATGACGACGGCTGGACGCGATAACTGTTGCCCCAAAACGAGGAGCCCGAGAACCGGATAAAACCGAGTACTTGGACGCCGAGACGACGGCGACGACGACGCGGACTAACAACGCTCCATTCGTATCCGGTCCACATCCGGTTACCCAAATGAGGCTCTCTCTCTCTCACTGTAGGTCGCGACACCCTAATGCAGCGGGCGACTGCAGGAGGGGCGGGGTGGAGATAAGG